GATTATTTTCTTTTCATTTAAAGCACTCCTACCCACTGGGTGGGGATGAGACTACCCAGTCTGCATCTTTCCAGTGCCAGATGGACCTGAGCAACTTGATCAGTTCTGTAAGTACTGGACACTGTTGACTTCCATCTTTGGCCACCTTTCACAGATACACCCTGGGATTCCTCCAGAACACTTGGGCTGGGGTCTGAATGGGGATTGCCCAAATATGATGACTACTTTATCATCAGTTTATCAATTGTGTTTAGAATTGCCTGCTCACTTGCCACTTTTTATAAAACTATCATTCAGTATGTGTGCTGTAAATTAAACAAAATATCAGCCTTTATATCTAGATAAATAATAAAATCCTTACATTCCATCTCTTTTCCAGATGAGTCCAAGCTCTTCCTTTATAGCTGTCACCCTCCATCATTTAGGAAGGATCTACTGAGGCTGGTTACATTCCTGGCATAGTGCAGGTGGGGGGCAGGTATTACAGACATGGAAGTGAGAATCTGAGTGTGTATCAACAGTTCTTTAGGGAGGGTCTCCTCCATTTCAATGGCTGTTCCCTTCCCTTCAAGGACTGGCTTTGACCGTCATTTAGAAGGGACTCATTCTGCCTCATCTACTGCCTGTGGCCCCTGGATGTTACTATGGAGTACATCCTGACACCCTCACATGCCCAAATGAAATAAGAAGGGAGAGCCTCAACATTCCCCAGCATCCTCCCATCTTGTATTTCCAGAGACTCTAATATTCCCCTTATTCCACAGATTGACCAACAGCTTTGCTTCCAGCTAAGTTCTACGTTCGCCTGATAGCCAGTTATATACAGAGGCAAAGTCTGCTTCACTTTTGAGAGGCTGCATTGTGTCGTGAGCAGAGGACAGTTCAGCAGGGCTGGGGCAGGTACTATGGTGGGTATAGTGCAGCTGTGTCCTGGGCTTTCACACTCTGTCCTGGACACATGACACCATGACCATCAATTCATAAAGGGTTAGAGTTGACTATGGGGGATTCATTCATCACAAAGATGCTTTGGGGGCATTCTCCCTACTGTGTTTGCTCCTATTCTGCTAACTGGCATGTCTGAGGACAGGCATGGTCTTCCCGATTCGTAATGAACATCCATTTCTTGGACTGCATGTAAGCTTATTTATTTAATTCCTATTAATACTGTTCTGTAGATTACTACTCAGTCACAGCCTAATAATGGGATTGACTACTTTTCTATTTAATTAAACATGGTGGATACAAGGTGGGGGCAAAGTGTCTCTAAAAAAATGTCTCTACCTGCAAGGGTGCCCTCATAGTAAGTGTGGGAGTTAAAATTCAATAAGCACGTGCCATGTGCCACATTGTGATTTTACAGATCACCCCATAGTCATTACAATATAGTGAAAACTTTTAGAAAAGCAGGAGTCAGGTGAGGTGGAGGCAGGTGAGTCCATGGTCAGCTTGATCTACATATGAGTTCCAGGCCAGTCAGAGTTACACAGTGGGGCCTTATAGCAAAAAAGGAAGCAGGAAGTAGGAAAGTTCCTCTGGGGAGGGGATAACGGGTTGGGAAGACAACTAGAAACAGGTCAGAGAAGTTGAAGAAAACCTAGAAAAAACAGCTCATCTGACCAGGCACATGTGGAAAGGAATGCAGGGCAACCAGGAGCCATCCAAGAGAATTATTCCAGCAGAAATCACTGGGAGACGCATGTGAACCGGCAACAAGGAGAGCATGTCCAAGGCCAGCTGGTCTCTATGTCTGAAGGTGATAGTCAGGCAACCCAGACAAATGCCTTGCTTCTGGGCCTAGGAAAGCACATATCCAGCCTGGCTCAGAACCAAGACCTATCCAAGAGTGAACCTGAGCTGAGTGGCTTACTAAAACCTCAGCAGGGTGATGGGGTGTCAGGCAAAGACATCTCCATAGGCTGAACCTCTAATTCCCCAGGTTTCATCAGTAAGGTCATGTGGCCCAACCATCCGCCTGGGTATAGTGCCTGCCACTGCAGCTGCGTCAAACTCAAAGAGAGACAGTGGGGAGGAGAGGAGAAATGGTCTGGGGGACAGATTTGGGAAATCCCTTGAGGAGAGGCTGGTGGGGAGGAGAATGCCAGGGTGTTACCTTGGTATCGTCCTCACTGGTCTCTTGTGTGCGTCTCAGTGTTTCCTACTGAGAACCAACAACAGTCACTTGTTTTTCTTGATGGGCCTTACAGTTGTCTCTTCCAGGCAATGGTCTCTTGTGCCCTTCAAAACCTACACTTACTGGAAAACTGCAGACAGCAAGCAGGGCTCCCTGGTGAATGGCATCTCTGCATGTCACATCAGTGGCTCCCTGAGGCCTGTTCTTCTCGTGCAGCCAAGCTTGTCACCCCACTACAAGTTCTTGGAGAGAAACTCCAGATGAAAGTGTACATGTAGATAGATGTGACGACACACATTCTTTCCCTAAAAGCAAGCCTTGTAACTTGAGGTTCTGAGATTTGGGGCCCTGGGCCAGCTCTCTAATGATCCGAACTCTTCTCCTTTCTGATCCTATTTTCATACCAAGGTTACAATCTTTGAAAACAAGATTCACTTGTACCAGAGTTTAAACACATTAAAAAGAACCTGTGCTAATGGGAGACCAAAATCAAGTACATCTTTAATTATTATATATTTTTATGTATATGAATGCTTTACCTGCATGTACGTAAGTGCACCCATGGGTGCAATGCCTGTGAAAGCAGAAGAGGGCATCAGATCCCCCAGAACTGCAGTTACGGATGGTCGCTAGCTGCCATGTGGGTGCTGGGAGCCAAATCCAATCTTCTGCAAGAGCAGCCAGTGCTCTTAAAGGCTGAGCCATTTCTCCATTCCCCTCAAGTACATCTTTAAAAAGTAAGTTCAGGTGCCAGGTGTGGTGGTGCACACCTTTGATCCCAGCTCTTGGGAGGCAAAGGCAGGCAGATCTGAGAGATCGAGGCCAACTTGGTCTACATAGTGAGTTCCAGGCTAGTTGGGACTACAGGAAGAACCTGCCTAAAAAAGAAAAAGCAAGTTCAGAGTTCCCTGCACTAGGTTCCTCCAATCACTGACCCTCTGTGAGATAAGCAAGCTGCTCTGCAAGGCTGAGGACCAAGAAAATGATGCAGGACTTAACGGCAAAACCCTCCCTGACTACCGTCCCTGGAAAATGATGATTTCAGAGTTCACTTTTCCTTTGGGAACTTGAGACCAGACAGGAGTTTTAGGGGATTTTAAGAAAATCTTGTGGGTTTGAGTGATGCCAAATAAATATCCTTAATGTCTCATGAACCCCCTCCCCCGAGTCTACAAATGAAACTATAGGACTCAAGGAATTCACTCATCTGGCCCAGTCTGTAGTCTAAAACAAAGATGTCACAGCCATATCAACCCAAAGTTGTTGAGATCCCAGAGAAAGCCTCCCCCTCCCCAAGCTGGGCCCCTCCCCTCTTCCTCGTTTGTTTCTTGTGAGCAGTGTTCCAAGTAGAAAGTGGAGCTACTGGCAAAAATGCAAAGCTTGAGAAGGTCAAAATTCAAGGTAATTAGACTCTTCTGTCTCTGTACTGATTGTCTTTGCCCATCTCTTCCTTCTTTCTCTTTTGTCTCTTCTATCTCTCTTGCCCCCCCCCCCCAACTCATGTGGTTGTTCATGTGCAGGTGCACGGGTATATTGTGGAAGCCGGAGGTCAATGTCAGCTGTCATTCCTCAAGAACTCTCAATCTTGTTTTGTTAACTTACATTGTGTGTGTGTATGTGTGTGTGTGTGTGTGTGTGTGTGTGTGTGTTTATGCATCCATGTCACGGCGTACATGTGACGGTCAGAGGACAAATTTTGGGTGTTGGTTCTCCCCTTCCATCATGTAGGTCAGGGGGATTCAACTCGGGTCACTGGGCTTTGCAGCAAGTATCACCATCTTGCTGGCTTTCTGCCCTGTTTTTGAGACAGGGTCTCTCAGTAGGACCAAGGTCTCATTAATAAGGCTAAGCTGGCTACCCAGCAAGACCCAGGGATCCTCCCATCTCCACCTCCCCAGTGCTAGAATTATAAGCATGTGCCACCATGCTTGGCTTTTTGCATGGATGCTGGGGATTCAACTCAGGACCTCATACTGGTACAGTAAGCATTTTACTGGCTGAGACACCTTTTTAGTCCCTTTTCAACTTTCTACATGGAAAGAGAACCCTGTTATCTAGTGTTTTGCATTTGTGTGCCTCTCTGATGTTGGGACCTGGGCACCATGAGCAGACATTGCACATTTTCCACACATCTGCCCTGCTCCCACCTTCAGTCCTGGGCTGAAGACTATACTGATTTCCAGACAGGGCTACAATGTACAACAGGCTGGGGGCCATGTGTTCATAGGAATAAGCAAATGACACCAGAAGACTGAGCCCTTGGGGTAGCACAGGATGTACCCACCTTTTCAGCCATCAGGAAGTCAGAGCGGAGGGCCTCTCGGGTGCAGGTGGCACCAAGTAGGAAGGCGAAGACGATGTACAGAAACCACCTGCAAAACCCAAGAAAACAGACTTGGCACCCAGGCTGGCTCAGCCCACCCCAACCACCCACCCGGCCTTTGGGAACCTGTCTCAAATTAAAGAGAAAGGCCACCACAAAGTCATTCAGCTGGCCTGGAGGGGACTTTTTGTACTCTTTCTCCTCTAGTGCATTTCTTACCAAAAAAAAAAAAAAAAAAAAAAAAAAAAAAAAAAAAAGACATCAGTGTTTTGATTCTTGTATTAAAGAAGGAAACCACACCAAAGGTGTCAGGGTGAGGAAGTGCCAGGACAGAGCTGACCTTCATTCCCACAGCCCAACCTCCTCCAGCAGAATTAGCCAATCTTCTTTTGGGCCCCTGAAGCCTCTGGTCTCTAGATCACAGATAACAGATTAAAGAATGAAAAGGCAGAGCAGTGGCTCTGGCCCCGAGCTGCCCCGTATCCATGAGTAATTCACATGATCCTGAGGTTACACCATTCCTGTCTGAGCAGAGACAGTATATACCAAGGCTCATCCTGCCTTTCAGCCGTGTCCACAGCAGGACAGGGAGCTCATGAGGTCTCTTCTTCCTCCCCCGAAAACTCAATTTTTCCTGGCATCTTATTTTCTTGCCAATGTCGTTGCCTTAGTTTGCACAAATGGCCTGGTGCCCTGTGCCTGGATGATAGCAGTAGAGTCGGGCAGTGAGCATTTGTGGATAGATTAATATTTTTAATTATCTTAGTTAAAATACTACAGGCTCTTTCAACTTCTCAAGCCAGGGTTCTGCTATGATCTCACTGCCTTTCCCACACCTGCCCAATGAAGGGCAGAGAAGCTTCCTTTTCCTGTGGTACAAAGAGAAAAGCAGAAGATTCTAGAAGGTCAGAGACAGATCCAAGGCCATGTGATTGCCTGCTAGTGAGAGCAGCACAATGGGAACCCCAGAAGCCTGACAGCCTGGGGGAGGGAGAAAGAGAGAGGGAGGAGCACATTTGTCTCTGAGCCTGTTGTGTGCTTTGATCCTTGCCATCTCCTCCACAGTCCATAAGGTGTGTGTACACACCACACATACATGCACACACACGCACAAATGCACATACACATACATAAATGTACACACATATACACATGCGCATACATACACACATGCACACATATACACACATACATAACTATGTACACACATACATACACATATATACACATGCACATGTATATACATATACACACATGCACACACACAACCCATTTTATAGAAAAGGAAATGGAAGCACAAGAGACTAACTGAACTGGATGCGAACTCTAATCTGCATGCCTGCAGAATACTTCATCTGTATGTAGGATCCCACCATGATCCTGGAAACTCAATGGTTACAAAATCCCCAAGTTCAAAATGAGGGTGGGGAAGGGGAAGGGTGTTAGGAGAGGAGTAAGGCAGGATTTGGTCTGGTCTGCGATCTCCATTCATGACCCTCCTCCTTGGGCAGCATTCCCAGGCGGTGAGTGTGAAAGGGCAGTGTCTGAACCCACCAGACGTGAATTTTCCAGCTCACTGAGTGTTAAAAGGAGGATTGGAATATGAAATAGATTGGTCACAGTTAGGGTACTCTCAGAACAAAAGGGGCAACCCCCTCTTCTGCTGGGGGTTTTCTCTCCCACTCTCTGGCTCAGACTGATTGCCACAAGAACTTACGAGATGCCAACAGCTGCTAGGGAGCCCAGGGGGATGCTGGCAGCAGGCTCCCTCAGGTCACCTCCCATGTTGAAGCCAGCCATGACTCCTGAAAGACACCCAGACAGGAGATTGGGTAAGGCAGGTATTACATGAATCAAACAGCTTTCCACAGGGCTGCACCGTTCTCTCTTTACGGCCCTCTCCCATGTCAAACCCTGCCATCTGCAGCTCTGCAAGCAGGCTGCTTCACCATCTCCCCTGGCAACTGGGGAGGCATCTGCATGGCATGAAAGGGACCTTTGTGGGTTGTGTGATGCTCAGAAGGAAATCCCTCCCAGCTACAAAAGCATCTTATCACACAGATGAAAGTATCAAGGGTGTCTTGAAAGCCACGCAAAGGTCCTGACACACATGCTGAGATCTGCTTGCCTGACTGGACAAAGCCCAAAGTGTCTCAGCAGTACCAGAAGGTCTACAGATTTCTTCTGTTGCCAACTATTACAACGAGGGTTCAAGTATCCTTGGGGCCAGGTACTATCAAACAGCCAGGACCAGAAGCCATGTTCAGAGTTCCTGACCTACCACAAGAGCTCTAAACATACTAAATGTGTGCGTGCGTCACACACACACACACACACACACACACACACACACACACACGTGCGTGCCCAGTCCATGAGGCAGCTAACAATTCAACATGATGGGCAATCCAGCCACGAAATTTCACCACATGGGTTGGGGACTGTTGAATATGGAGTGAGGTCTTGAAAGGAATTTGAGCGGGCTCAAGGGTAGCATCAGTCCAATACCATCATCATAGATTTACAAACATTCAACCTGTCAGGGCCTGTTTAAGTGTTTCATATGCATTTTCATTTTGTTTAATCCTCTCAACAGCCACAATAGAAAAGTAGAATCATTTCTTCATTTTATGGAAAAGTTCTCAAAGAAGTTCACTGAAACAGCCTAAAGTCACACATTTGGTAAATGGCAAAACCAGGCTTCAATCCTGGTCTGCCTAACTCTGAGTTACATGTCAAACACCTCTGATTCAATGCTTCAGGAAACTCAGGGGAAGCAGAGTGAGGGGAAAGTTTGGGGTCAGAAAGCTATTTCAAAAGAACCCAGAATGCCAGACAATGACAGGCCTACATACACTTCATCCCACTGATTCCACCACTAAGAGTTGATCCAAAAACCAAGGTATAGGGCTACTTGTTCTTGACGTCAACTTGGCACAATCTAGAGTTATCTGGAAAGATGGAATCTCAAGTGGAAGATTGCCTCGATCAGACTGGCTGATGGGCATATCTGTGGGGCATTTTCTTGACTGCTTGTTGATATAGGAGGGCCTAGTCCATTGTGGGGGCACCATCCTTAGGCACGTAGAAAGCTAAAGAGCAAGCCAGGAAGCAGTATTCTTTCAAGTTCTCTGCTTCAGTTTCTGCCTCTGGGTTCCTACCTCGTGTTACTGCCATGACTTGAAACTGAACATATCCCCTGCTCCCATTTTTATTTGAAAAAAAAAAAAAAGAGAGAATGGCACAGAAAGAGGAGCTAGACAGGTTGGGGAGATGGTTCAGTTGGTAAGTCCTGGTCATACAAACAGATGGATCGGAGTTCAATCCCCAGCACTCACATAAGCCAGGTATAATGGCATGTGCCTCTAACTCCAGCAATGAGAAGGTGAAGACAGGAATATCTCTGAGGCTCCCTGGCCAGCACAATCTTAAAGAAAAATGACTCTTGAGCTGGACAAATAGCTCAGCGGTTAAGAACACTGGTTGTTCTTGTAGAAGACCTGAGTTCGAATCCCAGCACCCACATGGCAGCTAACAACTGTCCGTAACTCCAGACCCAGGGGATCTGACAGCCTCTTCTGTCCTCCACGGGCATTGCACGACATGGGTGCACTTACCTACATGCAGGCAATATAAGCATACACATAAAATAAAAATAATAAAATATTTTTAAAAGAAAAGAAAAACGACTCTCCTAGCAATTATCAATGGTTCCTCAGCTAGGGCTGAGGTTTCCTGCTCACCTCCCCCACTCTATGCTGGGATTTTGTCTGGATGAGCTTACATAGGTCTTATACATCCTGTCACAATTGCTATGAGTTTATATATGCAACAGTCCCACTGTCTGGAAGACACATTTCCTTGTAGTCATCTGCCCCATCTTCCACAATGATCCCCAAGCATTGGGAGGAGAGGGTGTGATGATATAGGTGTGTAAAGAAGAACATACATGCCTTAAAAGTCACCAAACCTTATCCATTTCCTTTTTTGTTGAAAACCAGGAATGTATTACTATTTGAAGGCTCTAAGCCTCAGTTTCCTCCCATCTGCCACAGAGATAATGCAATTTACCATGCAGGGCTGTGGTAAATATAAGGAACATTTATAAGGCACCCATCATAGTACTCTGTACATAGCAGGGTTGATAAATAAAAGTCCTCAAGAAACATAGGCTCCACTCAAGAAAGATGGGCTGAGGCAGGAGGATCAAGACTTAGAACCCAGCAAGTTCCAGACCAAACTGGGTTTTATACACACACACACACACACACACACACACACACACACACACACAGCCTTTCATGGGTTCTCCCAGATTTGCAACCATCTCCCCTTCTTCCTCATTTCCAAACCTTATTTGTGCCCCACACTAGTTTGCTACTTGGCCAGCTAAGTTGTTCCTACAGAATCTTTATCCCCTTTCTTCTTGGAGGAAGAACTTGTCAGTCCTTCCCTCAGTGCTGTGGAGATAGATGGTGCCAGGAGGCAAGCAGAAGGGCTTGCAAATGCCAGGAATCAAGCAAGGTTTGCTGGCTTCTGCAGGGGCACAGCCCAGATGTCACATCAACTCCAGCAGCCTATCTGAAGTGCCTGGGAAGCAATGGGATTCTCCACTTACCACTGGGTGAACTTGAAGAAATAACCTGTGTCTGTTTCTTTATCTGTAAAATGGTGGAACTCATGAAAAGATCTAGGTTAAATGATCTAAACTTTAAAAAAATAATATACATGATTATTAATATGAAATTAGGACCAGGGCTTTAGCAGGAGTTCATGCAAACAAGGGACCTTTAAGCCAAGTCTTCATTAACTTCCTGGTGGGTGCTACAGTGTGAGTTTGACTTCCAAAAGCTCATGAATTAAACATTTAAGTAAGAAGTTCATGTTAGCTGCACATCGTAGTGTATACCCCAGCATTTGGGAGGCTGAGGCAGGAGGCCAGCCTTAGATATACAGCAAGTTCCAGCCCAGTTTGGGCTCTATAGTGAAAAAATTATGTTAATATTTGGAGGTAGAATTTTTTTTTTTTTTGAGACAGGGTCTCACTGTAGCCCCAGCTGTCCTAGAATTCATTATGTAGACCAGGCTGGCCTTGAACTCACAGAGATCCACCTGCCTCTGCCTCCCAAGTACTGGGACTACAGGCATGCGCCACCACACCCGGCTCCTGGAGGTAGAACTTTTGAGAGGTAATTAGGATTGGCTGAGGTCTTAAGAATGGGACCCCATAATGGCATTAGTGGCTTTATAAGAACAGAACTGGGCATGGTGGTACATGCCTTTAATCTCAGCACTCTGGAGGCAGAGGCAGGAGGATCTCTGTGAGTTCAAGGCCAGTCTGGTCCACATAGTGAGCTGGGAGACCGTCTCAAAAAGAATAAAAAAAGGAAGAGAGGGAAAGAACAAAAAAAGGAAGAGAGGGCTGGGTGGAGCTCAATGGCAGAGCATGTAGTATCACAAGTTTGAGGCCAGCCTGGATAGAAGCTTCCTCTTTCTCTTTTCCTGGTCACAAGTACATCAGAATGAAGTGGCATTTGCCCCATCTTTAGGTTATCCTTTCTGGGGCCTCTCTCATCCTTCAACCTGGGATCTTTCTTCTAGTCCCACAAGGTGCTTCTTCAGCTTCAAGACAATTCCTGAGAATGATGGGGAACAGCTTGGGAGAAGCTTGGGGCGCAATAGCCTGGGACTGGGAGGAAAGTGACCTATGGTATACATAAGGAGGGGGCAATCAGGACTGAGGTCTTAAAGACAGACAGACTGACACTCCAAAGCAGCCCAGCAAATGCCCAGAGCTTCCCAGGATACATGTGTAAGCAAGGCCAAGTCGGGTTCAGGAGTCAAGGGCATCACAGAAACAAGGATTCTTGACATGAAAGATAGGAAGATGGTTCTGGGCATTCTGGTAAAGGCTGTTGATTTCCCACCAAGATTTTTATGCTGGGTGTGGTCAACCACAGGCCCATGTGCTGACTGTGGCCAAAGCAGCTCTTGTACTTTCCAGTAAGAGTTTGGGTTTTGGGGATGAGGGTTATGTGACTTCATACAACTGGTATTTTTCTCAGTGAGTTTCCATTTCCTCCATGAACTGTGGTCCTGGGTTCCTGAGTAGCTGCATCTGTAAGTGTGTGTTTGTGAAACTCTAGAGGGGGAGAGATGTTTGCTTTGGGCGGGGGGGGGGTGTGGAGTGGGGGAGTGGGTTGACAGTATGGCTTGAAGAAGAGAAGCGCTTAGAGAAACAAAACAAATGAAGAATCTAGGCTAACCCCTACCCTCATCCCTGGAACCCCCACCACAGGGTGTGGTAGAGCTCAGTGCAGTAGAGAACAGCTGCCCTGGGGATAGAGTACCTGAGGTAACAACTGCTATAGCTCTGGGGTAGGAGCTGCAAAAATGTTTATTCTTCAAAACTCCTCTTCCCTCCACACAGCCAGGAAGAGGATGGTGCCGGAGGGAGCCTCAACCATGACTCACTCACAACTAATCCCTGGCAAATCTATCACCATGGAAACTGCCAATCATTCATGCTTTTCATAGCTTAACTGAACATCTGCCAGGGGAAAACAAGTGGTGCAGATCATCCATCCTGCTTCCTGTGTTTACTGTGGGGCCCCTAGTAAACAGAGAGCCAGGGGAGGGCAGCCTGGCCCCATTCTGTTTCCTAATTATCTGAATGACCTTCATCAGCTCCTTCCCAATCTGCTCTGTGCCCCTCCTTCCACCATTGGTAAAACAAATTCAGATCAGTGGTTCTCAACCCAGTGAATGGTGCTGGTGGGGACTAGAAGGCACAGAAAGCCTGGCCCCTACAAGGGAGCAAGAGGAGCCCCTGTAGTTGACACTCTGCTCAGTATTACAATGTTAATGTGGACTATCACAAAATAATACTTTCACAACTTAAACCACAGGAAATCAATCAATCAGTCACCCTCCCCCGCATATGAATGTGTGTGATGTGTGAGTGTACACGTGTATTTATTTTTATGGAGATCAGAGGGCAACCTTTTAGCGTCAGTGCTTTTGCCTTAACACCTTGTCTGAGCATGGTCTGAGCACCATTGCAAAAGCCAGGCTGGCTGGCGGGAACCTTGTAGAGATTCTCCTGTCTCTGGCTCCCATCCCCCAGTAGATTAAGAGAGGTGCAGGGATCATAGGTGCTTGCGCTACTGTGTCTGGCTTTTGCTTGGGTTTTAGGGATCTGAACCTGGGTCATCAGGCTTGTACAGCAATGCATTTTATCTGTGGAACCATCTCCCCAACCTCAGAAAATAAATCTTAATTAAAAATTCTTAGGCAGCCATCTCAAAGGAAGTACGGCCCCCCCCCCCCCAGCTGAATTTTCAAGGTGTAAAGTTTTGAGTGCTTCAAAAGCTGAAGGGGCTGGAGATGTAGCTCAGTGGTAGAGCACGTACTAGGTCAGAGATTCAATTCCTAGCAAGACACACACACACACACACACACACACACACACGATGAGAAAAGAAAAGAAAAGAAAAGAAAAGAAAAGAAAAGAAAAGGGAAGGGAAGTTGAGTGGCTGAACTAGCAGCTGATCTCCAAGTTAATCCAGCTCCAGCCCTGCCTTTTGGGTGGCATCCCCAACTGCAGGCAGCTGCATGTTCCCATCTGGAGGGGAGGCTCGCCACCCAAACACTCAGACCAGGCATCATCTCCCTCTTTTCCCCACAGACTTGTGTGTATATCAGGACCACATTCCTAAGAAAACTCCTGATGGCTCAAAGACACTTTGGGAGACCAACAGCATGGGCACCCACCGGGTGCACAGTTCTTGTCCAGTGCGCGTGTACATCACAGTGCACTTATAGAGGTCAGAAGAAAACTTGTAGGGGTCACTTCTCTGCCTCCACTATGTGGGTGCTAGGGATGGAACTCAGGTTGTAGGATAACTACTAACCTAGCCCCTCTGGCCCAGGGTCTTGTCCTGGTGGGGAACTCCCTGCAGGCTCATGGGCAGCTCAGTTGGAATCCTTGACTGTGTGCTCCATTAGTGCTTGGGAGGTGGGAGGAGAGGGGCAGGAGAGGCAGGTAAGCAATTTTAGATGTTAACGTTTTAAATTTCATTTCTTTACCATTATTCTTTTTCTGTCCGTTCAAGAGGAAGCTGACCTAGATCTGATGGTTTTGGGGGAGAATTTATCTGAATACTATTTCAGCTTGTTTCTTTACAGCCTGGGTCCTTATGATATTTCACCAGAATCAAAGAAGTGGAAAAGAATTGGGCTGTTGGCTAAGGGCAGCATGGGGGACCAGAATAGGGACTATATAATTTGCGGAGCCCAGTCAAATAAAATCACAGCAGCCCCTTGTTCAAAATCAATGAAGAATTTTAGCAATAGCAAAGCATTACACCAAAGTGAGGCCCCTCTCTGCTTGGGCCCTGGTGTGACGGCATGGGCCATACCCTAAGAAAGCTGGCCTTGGGAAGGGTTGACCCTATAGCTGGGGGCAGGGGAAGGGAGGCTGACAAGTTCTGGAGTAATGGGGATCTGGAGATTTCTTATCCCAAAGGAGCTCAAAGGCAGTGCAAACCTGAAGGCCCTGCAGACAGGACATGGGAGGGTCTGACTCTATACACAGATGAGGAAGATTTAGGCTCCCTAATGTCTTGGTACTGTGTAAGACCTTAAGATCCTGGAAGTGGTGAGAGAACAGCAGCACCAGGAGGAAGTCTGACAAATGACTGATGTTAGCGTTGAGTTATCCTGGCAGGACAGAGACTTCAAGTCAGAGATCTGACTTCATTTTATAAAGAGATACAATATTCTGGCAAATCTGGATCCGCAGACTGGGATTCTTCCTACTCAGCCCTAGTTTCAGGTTCAATTCCATGACCAAATGGGGACAAGCAATGATCTGAGGGAGAGATGTAGCTTGGAACAGAGTGGTCAGGGGTGAGCTGAAGAGAAGTACAGAGAATCCAGTGCTATCTGAGAAGAAAACGTACCAGGACTGGAGAGTTCTGAGAAGAAAAAGTAAGGCATCATGAATAAGTCCCCTGGCTGGCTGGAGACTCCATCACTGAGACCAGGAGGACAGAAAAGCCAGCTGAGGACAGGCAAGAAGGGTTTGGTTCTGAATTGTTGGGTCCAAGATGGGATCCAAGATGTTACACAGGCCACTGAAGGAGTGCTGGGGCACTTGGAGGAGAAGTCTGGGCTGGAGGTTTGAACATGGGAGTCATCAGCTTTTGGGGTGATCACTGAATAAGGGGGTTGGAAGATATTAAGAAGACAGGGATGGGAGACAGAGATAGCTCAGTGGGTAAAGTGCTGGCTGTGTAAGCCTGAGGACCTTCAGGTCCTAGGCTCCATGTGGCATGTGCTTGTAATTCTAGTACTGGGGAGGCAGAGACAAGCAGATCCCCGGGGCTCACTGACCAGCTAGCCTAGCCAAGTTGGCAAGTTCTAAGCTAGCAAGAGATCCTGAGGCAAAAAAAACTCAGGTGAGTAGAGCCTGAGACTGACACTTGAGGTTGTCCTGTGGCCCCCACATGCACATGCACACACACCCCACCACACAAGCACACATGTGTATACATACAAACAACAACAAATGAATAGATAAGTAAATAAATGAATAAATGGAAGGGTGAGAAAGAGAGTGAATGGGGCTAGGAATAGCCTGACGAACTCAAGTATTTACCCGCAGACAGAAGAAAAGAGACCCACGCAGGCAGGAGTAGGAGGAAGAGGAAGGAGGACACTGCTGCTCTGTGATTGGCAAGAGAAAGAAAGAGGGAACAGTCCTGAGAGGTCAAATAAGGCATGGAGTCAAGAGTGCCCACTGAGTTTAGTAACACAGAAGTCACCGAAGACCTTGGGAGGATTCATTTCCTTTGGAGAAACAGACTGGGAGTTTCGAAAGGAGAGTGTGGTGGAGTTGAGAAGCAGGAAGGACAATGCAGACAGGAAGCCATCTTACCTTGGGTTGCAGGAATGAGAGAACAAGGGCCTTTGCCAGAGAAAAGGGTGGGGTTGAGGAAAGATGATTAAGGTTAATCATTTCTTTCATTTTAATAGCTTTATTCAAATATAAATCATATTCAATAAGCTGCATGTTTTAAATGCAACAGTCCGATATACCTATGAAACCATGACCATGCTCAGGAATGTATTTTTCATTCTGAAGCCTCTTCCAGTCCCTCAGGAGCCCCACCCTGCCAGTTCCTCTCAACTCCCTCCCCAGGCATCTACCATCTGCTTGCTGCCTGCAAGCTATTGCTTGTTTCTTCTAGAATGTTACATAAACGGAGTTTATGTGATCTTTACTTTTTAGGACTCTTTTTTTGCCTGACTTGCTCAACATAATTATTTTGAGACTCATATATATTTGCTGCATATATCAATAGTTTGCTCTCATTACTGCTGGGCATTTTCCTGCTGTGTGGCCATACCACAATTTGCTTATCTGGTCACCTGTTGATGAACATACAAGTGATTTCAATTTGGAAACACTACAAATGAAACTGCTTTGGATTTTCACACAGAAGCCTTTACGCGAGCACATGCTTTCAGTTCTTTGTCATAGAAAACTGGGAGAACAGCTGGATTGTGGAATGTTTAATATCTGTCAAACTTTCACAAAGGGGTAAGAGCACTTTACATTCCCTACTGTAGATGAGTTGGAATTTCTTTACATCCTTGCCAATACTTGCATGGAAATCCTTTTTTCTTAGACCATCTAGTAGCTTCTCCTTTTCCTACCCTTTGCCTACATGGGGAGAGGATACCTGGGAAGGACACAGCATGTGCAGGAAGCAGGGGAAGGGGGCAGAAGAAAAGGGGCAGCAGCCACACTCCAGGCCAGCAAGAGCAGCTGGAGGAAGAGCGAGTCTGAGTCTCTGCCCTGGAGACAAGCCCTGTCCCAAGCAATGGATGGTCCCATGGGTCCCACGGATCACCTGGCATAGTAGCCTTCTGGGCCAGGTATCTACACATGAGGCAAGGGCTCTCTACTCTCCTTTATGACCACTGCAGGGCAGAAAAATGGGGAAAGGCGGGGTAAGGAGATACATTGCCACCTGAAGGGCCCCAATTTTCCCTAATTTCCCTGCCCCTGGGAGAAAACACGATGCAAGGGAGGGTTTTTCCAAACTTGTTCTAGGAATGAGCGGGCAGTTTGTCTGGCTGAAGAGTCCATCCTGGTCAGCCCCAAGAGAAATACGTCCCTTCTATTAATTTGGTCAAGGTGTGTCAACTTGGAAAAAGGAGTAAGGAAGACTGAATCAGGTTGGGGCCTTCAGAAATTATGTTTTAGACAGCCTATGCCAACCTTAAAGTCAGATACACATCCCTCAGCACATGCTGGCCAATTGTGACACCAAACTTTGCATTTATGCCCCTAAAAGAACCCAGAGTACTGTACCTGTGGCTGCTGGGAAGAACACCCCAAACACAGTGAAAAAGGACTCCCCCGGGCTGTACTCTGGCAGAGAGTTGTTCCGTAGTAGTTCCGGCGAGTATCCAACAAAACCATGTTCTGAAATGATATGAAGGAGGACAAATTGGACAGGGTGGTCAGCTGACACAGAGTTCCCAAGGAGACAGCATTGCTTACACTTTTAATGGTTGTTTGCTTTTTGTTTTTGAGACAGCGGCTCACTCAGTAACCCAAGCTGGCCTGGAACTTAGTGTGTAGTCCAAGTTGGCCTTAAATTCATTTAGATTCTCCTGCCTCAGCCTCCTGAATTGCTGAGATTATAGGAATAAACCACCATGTGCAGCTATATAATTTTAAATAGTAAAAGATAAGGTGTGTGTGTGTGTGTGTGTGTGTGTGTGTGTGTGTGTGTGTG